GTAAGACAATAAATTTTGACTTTTAAGTGACACAAAGACTTTGCAGAATACTTGCATTTACAATTGACAACATGGTTTATTTTACATTATCTTTTAGCTACTTGTTATAAATTATTAACTAAGCTTATTTTAGAGTCATATTTAATATACATGCAATTTGTATAAAAACACTTTATGCGTAGTGCTAACTTTCTGTTAGTTTTGAAGATTAAAGAAAGATTAAGACTTGGACTCGGAACTTGGAAAAACTCAATTTTTGTGGTAGTTCTAAAGGCTTGTGAAAAACGGGCTTTTCCGAGTTGAACTCTGGATTAAGACAAACTATGAAAGCCAGGACATACACAAAGAGACAAAGCCATGTGAAATTCACAGAATGATCCTGCGTATCTGCTTGACCATTGAACTGGAGGAAATCACATGAAGAAAACTAAACACAAATGACTCTTTTATCTTTTTCCTATATTATTCTTATCTAGTATTTGAACTACATGGAGATGGAAGGTCAATAAATGTAGCAAGAATTTTCCCATACAAATTGAGAAAATACTGTGAGATGTACAAATGATCTTTTATAAAGATTTTTTTATTTTAAAGAGAAAAAAACTAACAAAAAACAATGAAGACAAAAACAAAAACAATACATGACCTCAAAACAAAATGATAGGAATTAACAATGGTTGCTACATTACATTATATACTGCTATCCTCATCGAAATTGCTCAGTCCACCAGATGTAAGTTGCTCAGTCCATAAGATGTAAGAATGTAAGATTGATCAAACAATTGAAGACAATAACAAGCAATTAAAAAAATTGGAAATGATACACAGCTTCACCATACAAGATGGTAGGAGTTCAACTGTGGTTCTTATACTGCATATTGTTGTCTTCAGATCAGTCATTCTGATTACCAGATACAAGCATGCAAAATTGGTCTAGAAAAAAGAAAATTTTAAGCATTAACTGTTCCTTTCAATAAACCATAGACATCAGCAATACACCTACCCTAGCTATCCTTGTATATCCATATAAATTTTGGTTTTCATTTTACAGAGAAAAGGAAAAAAACAAAATAACAAAAACAAATACATAAACAAAACAGCATAGAAAACAATCAAAATGACACAGAATTTCAAAACAAGGTGATAGGATACTAACAATGTTTGTTATATTACATAATGTTATCTTCAAAATGGTTGCACAAATAACCAGATACAGGCATGCAAGATTGATCACACAATTACACATTAACTGTTCCTTTCAATAAACCAACAGATATTAGTAGTACAATTATCTTGGCTATACCGTGTATACATATTCCTAGTTTTTTCTCTTCCTTCTTTCTTTTTCCTCTCCCCGCCTTCATCCCAGTTAGGTAAATGGATGCAACTAGAGACTCACATAGGTAAACATGGGATTTCCTCCCTACTATAAGATCCTGAAAGAGTAAATAAAATCTGAAGTGTACAATCAATATTGTGAAAGGGAAAGAAACTGCTCAAATAGGAAGGTACAAATGATCTTTTAAGTATCCCTTTACTTTGTAAAACATTATTTGCAAGTTAATTTATCAGTTTAACTTTGTATCTCTTGAATGTGTCCTATTACAGTTTGGTGGATAGCTTCTCACCAAGGAAACAAATATCTTCTACGTCATTTAAAAGAATATTGATCATCAATATGACAAAGGTGTACAGGAAGTAGTTTTTTTTTTTTTTTTTTTTTTTTTGGTTTTTCTCCGGTACCAGGAACCGAACTCACGACCTTGCGCTTGCCAGGCAGGCGCTTCTGCCGCTGAGCTAAATCCCCAGCCCTACAGGAAGAAGTTTGCACCAGGTCACAGGAGGCAATCGTGCATGGGCTTTCACAGTCCTGTGCTCAGTAATATCATGCTGGAACTCGCAATCAACTGTGGTGAGATGAACTATACCACAGAAATAAAGTTACTATAGATCAGGGCTCTTTCCTATACCCCACTGGTTTACCGCTACCCATGGTTTACCATTACCTATGCATATGTAATGAAAGAAAATGAGAAATTTGCTAGGTGTAAAAATTGACCATTCCAGTAATAGAAATATCTGAGACAGTTGTATTTTTTCCAGAGCATATTATAGATTAATGTGATTCTAATAAAAAGTCACTATGATTTATTAAACTATTATCAAGGTATGTTGATCAGTCAAAACAAATAGGTAAGAATATCTTAGCTATTGAAACACCATAAAGGCCCACTAATTAAAAATATGGTAGTGGTACTGGTACAAGGATATGGTAAAGTATGGCACTGGTGCAAGGATAAAAAAACGGCTGAAACAAATATATTTTTAAAAAATCCATTCTATCATATACAAATAGATAAGCAATACCATCACAGGCAGAGAAATTTCTCTTATTTCAAACTTTTACCTCCAGGAAGTTGAAAGTTCCTCTGTTCTCTCTCTAATAACCCAAACCAGCTAGAGAAGCTTAAAAAAAAATCACAGGTTTTTAGAGCTCCATCAGATTGATAAGAATATAAAGAAATCTAAGTGGACTAAATTTCAGAAAATAACCTTTTTCTAGAAAAATTAACAGCTGCCTTTATTCCTGGCTGAGCAGTGCGGGGAGAAAGCAGCTAAACGTTCATCTGCTGTATGTGGGCTGAGATAAGGATGGAATTCCAAGGTACTTCAAAATAAAGGAACAACATCTTTGAGTACCGGTGCTAAGTTCTTCTTCTTTTTTCTTTTTTTTATTGTTGTCCCGGGAATCGAACTCAGGTCCTTGCACTTGCCAGGCAGATGCTTATGCTGCTGAGCTATATCCCCAGCCCCACTGCTAAGTTCTTTCAAGCACTATTTCATTATCACACTAAGCTTACAAGTGTATTACTACTACTAGCATTATAAAATTTTGATTCCTGTCTTACAAGCAGACTGAGATGGAGAGGTCATCTGCCCGTAGACCTAGTAGGCGTGGGAGAGCCGGAATTTATGCACAATGGGAATTCAGTTTTCAGTGCTACCCTGCTTGCAGCAGGTTTTTACTTACTCATCCATACAGCCGGATAACCTCATTTCCTGACTGAATGAGCCTAAATTAGCAAGTACTTTTTCAATTCCTCCTCAGAGAAATAAATTCTACATAGCTTGAAATGTAAAAGCATTGAAAAAATTAGGAAAGCTGATTTATTTTGTAGAAAAAGGTTTTTCTTAAGGATGCAGGTGCTAGGATGCTCTGCTCCAAAATTCTGATGCTTAAAGTACTGCCTATTTGTCATAGATTCAACATCTCTCCTCAGTCCAGTAAAATCCAAGTATTAATTTCCACGCTAATTTGAACCCTATCAGAGATATATATAATTATTTTCCTCACTGTAGAGTCCCATGCTTGATATACAAAGGTGTAAGTTATTCAATTATTTGCAAACGTATTTGGCATGCATGTTCCAGGGAGTTTGGACAGGTAGGATTTTTGTAAATGCTTTTGGAATTTGTTGCACCATTTAAAATACAGAACAGTGTCCCACCCATCATCCAAACATCTGCAAGTCTTATGTTTTTGAATAAAGATTATAATGTGAATACTGCCTACACAATGATTACAACTCCAAAACTTATAGCGGTAGAGTACTTTATGGCATTAGTGACACACTTGTGACTACACAAGATTACAATTCTTCCATATTTGATATTTCCTCCAAATTTTATCTGTGGGAATACTTTCTCCAAAGGTTTCCCAAACAGAAGGAAAAAGGGGTGCTGGGTGGAGCCTCGGAGAAAGACCACTGCTTCCAGAGTAGCTCCCTGACCACCAGCAGCTCAGCACAGTGACGTCGAGTGACACGAATGCCAGGTTTTGGCCCATTCTTATAAAAGAGATCAAAATAAGAAATGTTGAATCATGCAGTGATGAGAACTCTTAACATCATCCCCAGCCCTTTCGGTGGCAATCTCTACCTCCTCAGTGATAATACCCAACTGTATTTAAATAGACTTTTAATCCCTTATATTCTCATGCAATAGCCAAATTTTAATACTAAAAATTTCCCCTTCTTTTGCCATTACTGGTTTTCCTAAAACGTTGAGCTTCTCCGGTTCCATTGGTGATGATTTTACACTTTCATCTTCAAATCACTTTCTTTGGTCTTATGTTTCTTCCTATGTTTTGTAACTTAAAATTACTGTCAATGACTTGAATCTTTCTGAGCTCTGCTGTCATATAACTGAGAACAAAATGAAAACATCCTGAACCACTGAGGCATGTTTGACTGCCTGACAGAAATACTCACTTGAAGGTTTATACCATTACCTCCAAGCCAGAAACCACCCTATTGCATTCACCTAAAAATAACACCCTTTCCTGACATTTAATTCTGCCAGTGATAGTGAGAACTAACATTTATCAAGTGTGGACATTATTTGCATTTATTGACTATCGCGTCAGGCAGGTTCTGGTTTTCCTTAGACTTTGAGCTTCTGCAGTTCCAAGGGTGATTATTTTAATTTTTAGTACCTTTTCTACCTTTTTACATTATGTTTCCTACTCCTCTCAACAGTCTCATGAAGTAGGTGATGCAATGCCAGCAGCACTGAGCGAGGGAAAGGCTGAAGATCTGAACACAGGTCATCAAATTCAAACCCCACCTCTGCCTCACACCTCTGCCATGTCTGTTTCATCCCTTAACCTTGCTTAGATCGAATGGGTTTACCTAAGAAATAGACACCCAAATGTAGGCAAATGCAGCCAGAAAAACAGGACTCCGCCTGAAATGTCATCAGGGGTGAACAAAAACCTGAGAAACTGAGTGAAACCATAAATGGTCAGATTTGAAAAAAATATGAAGAATTACACAGATTTTGGAAACTGTAGCCATGATTTCCTTATTTGTCTGAAGCAAGCTGACATAACACAAATCTCATCCTTGATTCTGTTCAGGATCTGATGTTTCTGGACCATCTGTCTGACTCTACTTCAACAATGTAAGAGATGTAAACAAAAAAGCAACAAAGTCAACTAATGTATTTCAATAAAAAATTTATTAACTGGAACCTATACATAGGTAAATTCTAAAATAGTAGCAATACAATATTTTACAATATTTTATCGTATTTTACAATTATAGTATTTCATTGAATATTTTACAGTATTTTAGCAATTCATTTTTACTCAACAATTCACCTTCGTGTTTTTCTTCCTAGAAACATATACACTGCATGAAAGCAACAATCCTTTTAACTCCAAGTTCTGTGCCTGAGTATTTTCACTATTTACAGCATATAATAAAAGGGACAATTAATTATGCTTCAACACTTTATTTCCTCTCAGAGCTTAGCAATTACTTAACTTCATATTATTCGGTCACAAATGGTAATAAAATGTCCTACCTAAACAGTTAAAATCATAAAATATTATAAGTCAAGTCAATGAAACTTTTAAAATAACTACACTGACACACACATGTATATTGGGCCCTATTAGAAATATGCCAGAATAAAAAGCTTTATTAAAGGAGGCCTTGGAGGAAGAGTGAAGAGGAACCGTATAATCAAACATCATTAAGAAGACTGCAGGTAAAAAGAAATTGGACTCCAGTTTTAATCAAATAAAAGAGGACGGAAGCACAGACCAGGGAAGGTGAACCTTTTAGAGCGTGCAGTGGTACACACGACGACGATATGGCACGCGTGCCACAGGTTCACCACCGCTGGGACGGACCATCACAGCTGATGAAAGCCAAGGAAAACAGTCACCATTCCATCACGGGCGGGCTCACTACCTCAAGAGCTCCGATTCAGGCTCTGCGGGCATTCGGGTCCTCTCCCACTGATTTCCTTAAATGGAACCTTAACCTCTAGTTATGGTAGCAATAGACTGCTATTTCATGCGACAGCAAACAATGGAAAAAACAGTGGTTAAGCCACACTGACTCTGGGTGATCTCAAAACCCCTGAAAATAGGGGTGTAGATGAGTTAATAAGAAATGGTACTCAAGGAGCACTGTATCATCTAATGTGATCTATAAACAGGGAAAATTTTGTAATTTTCAATGGAAAAGCCCACAGAATTTGAAAATTAGTAATGTCTTGAGGCTGATTTTTATCAAAATGATACCAAGCTATCAGTTGGCACAAATTTCAAATGCACACCTAAATGCATCACCTCAGTTTAATGATCCAGTAAATGACAAAAAAGACAAACAATGAAAACAGCATCATATAGCACAGAAGCTTTGTTTGGCTCCCTTTGGATAAAATCTTCAGTTTTCCCATAGTTTTACCTAGAAATCCAGTTGTAGAATCAAATTGCGAGTCCTGTAAGAGAGAAAGGAAAATACCATATTTCCGCTCTACATATGTACATTCAAGTAACTGAATATACTGCTATTAGGGCGCATTTTAAATGACAGTTTTGTGTTTCATCAATTCAGGAGCCTATTTATACCCTTAGTAATCAGCCTGACTACTCCATGCAAAATAAAGCAGGTCTTTCAGCAAATAAAAAGCTCTTTCATTATTCAATTTAAACATTTACTTCAATCACAGAGACATTCAAACACTCAAAGTATGTAGGTATTATTTCAATTCTATGGATGAAAAAATATTCACAAGAAAGGCCAGTGCTTTGTACAATAGCCCACAAGTTTTCCCCTACCTCTGGCTGTGACACTGCTTTCCAAGGTCGAGTAATTGATTGCTACCAGTAAAGGAATTTAATGCACTTAGCAGTTAAATGGCCCTCTACTCTTGAGACACGTTTGTTTAGATAGCTGTGTGAAGTACAGTGAGTCCACTAACAGCTAAGAGTGTCACGTGGACGTGGTCAATGAGGTAAGGGCTACAAATACGAAGAAAAACCACCATGTTAAGGCACAGTTTGAGAAGTCCTTAAGAGGAAAAGACCAGGTATAGATTAGAAATATTACACCTTCACAGAAATCTCAACATCCTGAGACAAAGGACCTCAGCTTAATACTAGATTTGCATAGCTCAGTCTCAGCTTAGCTTGTGTACTTTGGACTTGGAGTTCTTCCCCAGGATACTTCTTCCCCAGGATTATCCATCGGAACCACCCAGAGAGCTTTCTGCAAAACCTATGCCGCGAGCCCTCGCTTGAAACTCTGAATTAACAGTACTAAGAGTGGAAAACAGGTGTGTGCATTTTCAAGGAGTTCTCTCGGTGACTCTAGTAAGAAGCGTAGTCAGAACACCAATTTCAGCTCCATACTGACTTTGGAATAGCACAATTTTAAAAGCGCATGGAGTAAAGGGGAAGGTCCCGAAGAAAAGTTTGACATCCAAATAAACATCGGCAAAGGCTCTAACAAAAAAGTTACTATGTGGCTTAGCTTATTTACAGATACAGGGCACGCAGGCTACTACTGAGCTTTATAAGGGTTCTGCTAAGCAAGATGAAAAATGCAAAAAATAAATCTTATGGCTATGACAAGCTGATTAGAGACACGTGGATGGGAATCCAGGATTTATAATTTCTAGCTCTATTTCAAAAGGCATAAAAGTTAAAATTTTATTTATCCCTCATTAACAGGTTATATTATTAGATCAAACATCTTAAAAGTTAAAACATAATTACTTTTTTTTTGCTAATACCATGCTACAGTAGCTTTGTAATATAGTTTCAAATCAGGGATTGTGATGCGCCCCCCTTGCCTAGAATTTAGGATCAGTGGAACAGATTAGAAGATCCAGGTACAACTCCAAACACACTCAGCCACCTTCTCACTGACAAACGGGCCAAACACCTTCACTGGAAGAAAGATAGCCTCTTTAACAAATGGTGCTGGGAAAAGGCTTACCACATGCCGAAGACTAAAACTAGACCATGTATCTCCTCATGCACCAAACTAAAATTGAAATGGATCAAAGACCTAAACATTAAAACAGGAATGCTGAGTCTCCTAGAGGAGAGAATAGGTAGAGCTCTTACGGACACAGGTGTAGGCAAAGATTTCATTAGCTAAACCTCAATCATATGGGAAATAATACTTTATTGGTAATTTCTTTTGTAATATAAAAGCTTTTTAATAGGATAAAAAAGTTTTTGTATTACAAAAGAAATTATCAATAGAGTGAAAAGACAAGCCACAGAGTGGGAAAAAATTTTAGCAAAAAAAAACTGTTAGTCCCTCAGACAAGGGAATAAGGGAAAGAACTGAAAAATTTCAGACTCCAATTTCAAAGACCCAAATCCAAAAATGGGCATCTGAGATCGTATTCATCACAGTGAATTTGTACCTATATATGCTATATCTTGATTCCTTTTTTTCCTAATCCCTTCCACTCCCTTCAACCCCACTTCCCCTCCTATTTACAAAGCTTTGTTTCCATTTTATCGTTATTTTATAGTTTCCATTTTATCTGAGATGCATACCCACTTCTTGTAGTCAGAAATACAAATGGCAAATAAATATATGAAAAATGTTCAACATCACTGGTCATTTGAGAGATGAAAATTAAAACAATGCTGAGGTTATGTCTCACTCCAAAAAGTACAGCTATCAAGAAATCAACCAATAACAAATGCTAGAGAGGCTGTGGGAGAAAAGGAACCCTTGTCCACTGTTGGCAGGACTGTAGACTGGTGTAATCACTGTGAAAGTCAGTGTGCAGAGTCCTCAAGAAACTACGATTAGAGTCTCATTTGACCGAGCTATTCCCCTTCTGGGTATCTTCCCAGAGGAATTAAAAACATCATACCACAGCAATATACGTGCACCCATGTTCACTGCACCACAGTTTGCAAGCGCTAATCCTGGAAATAACCCAAATGCCTATCAATTGAGGAATGGATAAAAAAAGGTTTTTTGGTTTCTTTTTTTTTATACAATGTAGTATTACTCGCCATAAAGAAGGATAAACTTGAGATACTTCTCTGGTGTTAGAAACCTTAAGTGTAAATAAGGACCAAAGTAAATAATAGCTATTGTGAAACAGGAAGAAATGATTCAAAAGAAAGGGGAAGTAGGATGAGGAAGAGAGAAAGGAAGGGAAATAAAAAAGATAAAATAAGGATAAAATGGAAACAAAGCTTTGTAAATAAGGAGGAGAAGCGGGGTTGAAGGCAGTGGAAGGGATTAGGAAAAAAAAGGAACCAAGACATAGCATATATAGGTACAAATTCACTATGATGAATACGATAATCAAAAAAAAAATAAAAAGAACATTTGAGAACTTTAAAATAATCATAATTACTTACCATTTCAGCTAATAATTTATTCTGATTTTTAACTTCATGGCCTATTTCAATGGAAAGCTACAAAGAAAGAGATCCGTTACTACTCATAGAAAGGTATTTGAGTGTTACAAGGTAAAATAACATCATATGTAACCATGTACATTTTTTCAAATGAAGCTGTATTCTAAAAATATTAAATATACTCTACTACAAAACTGTCTACTGAAATGAACGTAAAATAAATTTAGAATTTTTTACTCCTTCTAACTGTAGGTATTTTCTCTCCATTCTGATCTCACTGTTCAGTCAGTTCTGACTTAGTTTTACTATACACCCTGATCCTTTTATGTCTGCAGGCCTTGTTCTGTGTTTTACTCATAGTAAAGTACTTACCTATGTATTTCTTCCTTATATCTTAAAAGATACAGAAGCACTCACATGACTAATTCAAATCCAGATAAGTATTTAATATGCTCCTAGTGAAATATATTACTTTTGGGGGGGGGGTCTTTTCAAAACAGGGTTCCACTATACAGTTTAGGCTCGCCTTCACCTCACTTTGTAGCTCAAGGTGGCCTCGAATTCTCAGCAGTCCTCCTGCCTCAGCCTCCCAAGTGCTGGGGTTATAGGTGTACACCACTATGCCTGGCTATTACTTTCAATATATGTCTAAACTGATTAATTAAAGTTTAAAGATACTTCTACTCCATAATAAATTGAAAATAAATTTTACAAGTTAGTGTTATCTACATCTGCAAGCAATGCAGCAAAGATCCTGAGCCCATGAGATAGAGAAGTGTAGCTAATTACAGCTTCAATATAAACCAAAACCTAATACTTCATACTATAAATTCTTCAAAATCTTCACTTCCAGGATAACTAAATAAATATAACCAACTACTGAAAATCATAGCAAGCCATTGCAATGATTCTTCTCAATTTAATTTGTGTGGAAAACATAAAATACTGATTTAATAAGCCATATTAGAAGGCTGTAGATCAAAACACGAGGTTTCCCTCAAAATTAAACCAGATAATAAAGCTAGATCGCCTAAACCACCAACTACTTTCAACAAATGCCATTAACGCCAATGAAAAGATTTCTAAGACATCACAGTTTTCTTCTACAATGTATCAGGGATTAACACTAGTTTTGATATTTTAAAAATGTATTTAATTCTCATATCCTTCCAAATGCTATATTTTCCAAATTATTAACATCATACAATTATTACTAGGTTCATAGATCTACTCCTTTTGATTTAATATGACCTTCAAAACAATACTATTTGAGAACACAACAGTTTCCATGCTGAATACAATTTGCTTTTCCAAAGACTATACTGAAGCACCAATTAAATTTTGGCAACATGGGCTTCTACTGAATGCTTTATAAGTGTATAACATATGTACTGCAACACAGAATCAATCAAATACACAATTAAAGTCAGTGGTGTGTAATTCCTTTATTACAAATTTACTTAGCTAATACCACCAATAATTACGTTAGGTTCTATGCAGAACATAAAAAGAAAAAAAAGGAAGACAAAACCCCACATTCTGATTTCTTTTACATACAAATAATTCCAATGGGTATCACTATGAAATAAATGCTACAGAAACGGCACAAGCAGTTTTATGCCATAGGGAAAATAGTAACTTTTGAATGGAGCTATTAATCAGTAAGCTTGAGGAAGGAGCGTATGCAACCATTAGGGCCTTCCAGGATAAGCAGGACTCCAGTCAGCATAAGGAAAAGGGTACTGAGGCAAAGGGACCGTGCAGGACATGGAGGATGGGACAACAAGCACACAGGGGACACAAAGAGCACTCTCATTTGTCTGGGGAAAGCACACAGGCTGGAAATGTGGAAGACAAGGTCTAAGAAGCCGGGGCCAATCTCTGAAGGACCTGTCCAATCAAGCTATAGAGTGTGAAGTTTATTAAGTCATGGAGGACACAGAAGACTTCTGGGAGTGCAGGATGCAATTTTAAAAATATTCTACAAAGATGACAGTACGTAGCTCAGGCCAGAACTAAGAGCCTCTCCCAATGGCTCACCTATGAAACCTGGGGTAGTATTAGAAATAGAAAAGCAGAGATAGAGAGAAGTATGAGAGAATGTATGATTTTAGAGGGTAACATGAGTTTAAAAGGTAAAAAAAGGAAGATTAAAATTTATTTATACCTTGGGAGATTAGAAGAGAAAGAACAACTACATGGGGATGGAAGGGCAGCTCTGTCTGACATGTAACTGAAAACAATGCCCAGTATTTTTTAGATTGTAATATACACACAGCAACTGGAGTTTATGAAAAACATCAAACCAAACTATCTTCTGCTTTCCTACATTTTCTAACCTACTTAAAGTACAGTCTAAATTTAGACCTTACCACTTTGACCTCACTAAGCCACAGTATTTGAGTAGCTGAATTTTTTATTATGATCTCAAAAAAAGCACGTAACTGACAAGAATATACTCATAAATACAGAAATACAATGTACGTAAGACCTACTCCGTACTTACAGATTTTATAGCAGTTACTTTGCTTCTCAGACTTTCAGTGAGCCTCTCGTTTTCTTCTTCACAGGCGCTGTACCCACTATTAGCATAGCCGTAGTTCCCGTAGCTGCCGGGCGGGGCTCCTTCACCTGTGAGGACCACAGCCGCAAGTGTTGTGCAGCAAAAACAAGCCATTTTTGAAAGGTTAAGAGTTAGCAAGAACCACAAAAGACTCGTGGAGGGCGTTGCAGACCATGTACATCTATAATATTCATATTCCAAATAAATTTTAAAAATGTATAACCAGAGAACAGAACAGGACCCCCTTCTCACAGACTATTCAGTTCACTTCAATACACACTTATTGATCACTTACTGATTGCTGAGAAGACATATAATTAGGCACTGATATGCAGGGATTTTCAGAATACATTCCCTGGCTCAGTAAAAACATAGGTTTTAATAAAAGATCTAAAAGTAGTAACATCAACTACCCGCTAAAGCACTTTGCTGTGAAGGGAAAGGGAGAAAGATAACCTAATGGGAGAAAAAGCCGAGGGCAGAAGCATGGTCTGTTACCACTATCTCTTTCTCTTAGAGAGCTGAACAGAAAAGAACCAAGGGGCAAGGGGAATTGGCGACACAGCTGCAGCCCTAGGAGATGGATGGAAAAATCTCTTATGGAGAATGTCAGCCAAGAGTTCCTCGGAGTGTTAATCATTGTTCAACAAATACATGAGGAACCACCATGTATCAGATCCATTCTTCTTTCTGGGAGCTACTTTTATGGAGCTTATCTTTGAGTGGGTGGCAGAGAATACAGTCCCCACCGCCCTGTAATTGAGGCCATCAATGTTCCCAGTCATGGAAAAGGAACTATCTGCTAAAGAGTGGCAATCACCTGGAATAAACAAAAAGGAAATTAATGAAAAGTGGTAGGACTGCTCAGAAAAGGAGGATAAAACAAACCTGGCTACAGCAATATATTGTGGTGGCCCTGACCCTGCCAGATGTGTGTTCTTTCTACAGAAGGGCTCCCTGGTCTCTTTAGCCTCTGAGAAGCCACACTGTTAGGGTGAACTACAGTTAAAGGTTTAGAGTGTTAGGCAGCTGAAGAACAGAGCCCCAAGGAGTTGAGACTGCTTAACAAATTATGGGCTTAACAAATTATGCTTAACAAATTATGGATTATGGGCAGTAGACTGTACAGAGTTTGAAACAGATTCAAGAGTTCACTAAATATATTTTAATAATATTAAAATTGGAGGCATCCATAAGCCAAAGAACAGATGGAGGAGCACTGACAGGAACAGCTGGAAGGACAGGATGCGGCAGTCAGTGGTGGGGGCTGAAGGATGCTCAAGGTGTGAAGAGGAAGCTCTAAGGCACGGTACAAATTTCATTTTCTCTAAGAAGTAAATCTCCTGAACTCTTATAGTTCTGACTATACCACTACTATTGCTCTCTAGACCATATTACAAAGGCAGAAAGCAAGTTTGGTTCACACACCACTGCATAGCCCCATAAATATATAGACACGTACACAAACAGTAAGGCACACTCAGTGAATGCATATTAATAAACTGATTAAAGAACATAATTTGAGTTTACTGTTATTCGAATTGCCGAGAATGGACTCATATATACTTCTCTGAGCACAGAAACAGTGTCTCATGGTTTTATCTCCCCCTGTACCGAATATGCACTTTATGTGCATCAGCCATCCAACTTATTCAGTGTCTACCACCACAAAACCCACGACAAAATCTTGAACAAGGATATTCCAGAGGAGAGAGGTGCTTAACTCAAACTTTCCTTCAACTGCTGACATACCATACATCTCTTAAGTCCTCAAAATGTATTATTCAAAAGTTAAGAACTCAAGGACTGGACATACTAATTTCTCCTCACTTAACAATTAAAATTGGGCCGGGGATATAGCCCAGCAGCACAGCACCTGCCTGGCAAGTGCAAGATCTTGAGTTTGACTCCTGGTACAAAAAAAAAAAATTAAAATCATCACTTAGAAATGAATTCTCTGTTGATGGGCACATGGTCTGCTTCCAGGTTTTAGCTAGTATAAATTGTGCTATTAAAAACATGAGTAGGTACGTGTTCTGTACATGTACACATCCTCTATGATGAATGGAATCATTATGTACTGTAAATGTGTACAAATAAAAAATAAAATAAAATGAATTCTCAATATATTACCCAATAGTACTCTGTGTAAATTCTACATTAATATGGTCCAAAACCTTTAAGAAAAGAAGAGTGTATTCTACTTATTTTATGCGACTATGAAGCCAAGTATATTAACATTTGCTGGAAAAGTAATTATTGACTGGTTGAATTTAATCACTTGATAATTTCATCAATGAATTCACCTAAATTAGTGATCATTTGGTTTATTTCTTTTCTTTTAGAGAGCTGAACAGAAAAGAACCAAGGGACAAGGGGAACTGGGGACCCAAGTTGAAGCCCTAGAAGACAGATGGAAAATCTCTTATGGAGAATGTCAGCCAAGAGTTCCATGGAGTGTTAATCATTCTTCAACAAATACATGAGGAACCACCATGTATCAGATCCATTCTTCTTCCAGGAGCTACTTTTATGGAGCTTATCTAGTGGGTGGCACTGAGAATATAGTCCCCATCACCCTGTAACTGAGGCCATCAATGTTCCCAGTCATGGAAGCAAAAGAACTATGTACTAAATTTTAACTTTAGAATTCTTCCATAACATTCTTTTTAAGTGAAATTCTCAATGATAGAAATCTTCCAGTGCACATTTCTAAGATATGATCTTCCCTCAAACTGTCACCCAGCCCCAATATAGAGAAGAATAAAGAGCTACAGTTACTATTGCAAACTCTGTCACTACTTTTTGTATGAATTACTGTTAAGAACAGTTGTATAAAAGCTAATGAGGACTGAAGACCATTCTCACCCTTTGTGGGTTTAGACAAATGCTGCCTCTTTTGGGTAAGTTCTATCAATAACCGAACCAAATCATTAAGTGAGACATGTGAAGTGTGATGGCTTCTGCACATGAGTATCTATCAGATTCACTGTTATTCCAAATTTAAAATTCCAGATCAATAGACACACTGATACTTAAAAAAAAGTTAACACCAATGTAAATGATAGTAACACTCACATATCCAATCACACCTCAACACCAGGAAACTTTTCAAAAGGCAACATGCTCTATCCTAGAAATTCTAATTTAGTTGATCTGAGCTGGGATCCAGACAATAATACTTTTAAAACTTCCTAGATAATTCTAATATACGCTGAGGACTGGACCTCACCCCTTCTCAATTCCCTCTCCTGCAATTTAACAAGGCACACTGCAGCACAAAAATTTTCAAACAGACCAGAGACTTACTGATGAAATGTAAATTCCATGGCCGGGCAGGCAAAGAGCTCCACAGCCGGATCTTCTCATGCCTCCTACTTCAATCAAACTGACTTGATCATCATAATCTCTTGAACACATCATTCATAATTCCAGTCTTACTTTTTTTTTTTTTTTGGTCATCCTCCCATCTGGAACTTACTTCTCCCACTCTCCATCATTCAAGATTTAGTAGAATCCCAATGTCTCCACAAAGTATACACTCAGTGATCTATCTCTCAAATCTCTGAGACTTTCACTCTGTAGAACTTACCTGGTACTTGTAGATGTATAGCTACCACCTTGTATTATGATTTATCTTTGCATATATTCCTACTCTTCAGCTAGACTAGAAGTCTGTGGAGCACAAATAGGGTGACAATGGACTACACAGCTAGAACTTACTCAAAGATACAATAAATGCTTGTTAAGAAAATTATTTAGGCATGTGAAACTAAAATTCTTCGAAATTACTGTTTATCGTCTTCAGTTTTCCTGTCCACATTGTTTCTATGATCCAATTTTTCATAATTCATACATTTTAAAAAACCTGTTGTCCTCCTATGATGTATTCATCAATGTGTATGTCTATATTTACTGGCAACTTTTACTGACTTTAAATACCTAACATTTTTGAAGTACTCCATTTTTTCCTTTTTCCACGTCACAATGACTGACAATGTAAATGTTGTATCTTTTTTCAAATGTCTCATGTATTTATTCAAGTATGCTGTGCTTTGATTTAGAAGTTCTCTTCTCAAACCACCTCTTCATAGTTTCAGAACAAGAAAATGCTACTCTAGCATCTGTGAGTTATTATAAAGGTCTATATAATCGTCTGGGGCTAATTTATCCCTGCTACTTAAAACGGCAGTTTCCTCACCCACAAAATCAAGAAACACGTTAAGTCATTAATCCTTCCTACAGTCTCCTGCTTCACCAGTGGAACAAGGTTTAGATAAGAAACGCTCTAAGTGAAGCCTCCTTTGACCCCAACCTTACACACAAGGGCCTTTAACAACGATGACGCGTACATGTACCTTTGCGAGTCCCAGCTACCAGTCTAATAATCATTACTAATGCTTAGCAGGCAACACCTACTCTCAGTTTCGCTTCTCAAGAAACTTAAGATCCAGCAATGATCAGCAAAGAATGAGGAGCTAAAGCTAGGCTCTGGGAAACTAGTTTCCAAAACCACAGGTCAAACGGTCAGTCACACACACACACACACACACACACACACACACACACACACCTCGACCTCCGAGTTGGCATCTGTACACACCGCACTCCTAGTTTCCCTCTAACCTACCGTCTAAACGTCAGTCTTAATCAAACTTAAGGAAACTTCTGGACCTAGGACAAATGATGTGTTTCCACTTCGCCCGCCACCAAAGATCCCCTCCGACCTCCCGCCTGAACCCCAGCGACGGGACACTGCCCTGCCTTCCGCCCCCGCCCCAGTGCTCGGCACTGCCGGTGCTAGGGTCCCCAAACTTGAAACTCAGCCCTCCTCTTACCCAGGCCCGCACGCCTCATCCTGCCAAAGGGGTAAGCCAAATGGTGGGCGAGAGGAGACTGGGTCGTTAAGGGTCGGGGGTTACAGCACCGCGAGTTCAGTCCCACCGCCCCCGTGGAACACCAACTTCTTGTCCCAAAGCGCCACGACAACAGTGGAGACTAACTACCGCGCCGGATGATGACGACATAAACCGCCGACCGGCGCTCTGCGAGAAGCATTGCGTGGTATTCTGGGAAATGTAGTCCACAGCTCACAATGGGCCCAAGCAGGGGGCGTGGCGGATGTCATAGCCTCAGCCCGCAAAGTTCACAGAAGAGGGACGAAGGCGGACACAGTTCAGACCAAATTATTGACCATGGATCCCCTCTGCCCCGCTCATGGCCCCCACCACCTTGCTTTCAGATGTTGGCCCCTATCTTAGAACCAGGAGATGTGCTTCTCCCAGGTCACACTTAGAGGATGGTTGGCTTAATGTCTCCTGATTCGGGCAATCTTTCCCTCTCAGAGTCGGATAAGGGATAGACAGAGAAAACTTTGTCAAGATTCTGATTTTGCAGACAAGTAATTTGAGACCCATCATAGAGAAGGAAGGAAGTAACCAATCTGAGCCTGATCGCCCTCACTAGGGTGACAAAAGTTCCTTAGGGGACCCTTGCTAGGCTTAAAGCAGGTAAGGAAGTGTAGAGGCTCCTGCAGTCTCCTAGGAGTTCTTGTTGGGCACTGGTCGCACTTCTAGCAAAAAGCAAGACTTTTATCTATTAAAGGGACTAAAGGATTCCTACTTGCCCTTCTACTTGGACATTTTTAAATTGAAAAAAGCACACAGATAATTCTGACTTGTACAGTATGTCAGGGACTTAGAGACTGGGCGGGGGGTGAGAAGAGAGTGACACCAGGTTGAACCTGAGGGTTTCTTCTTTATGTCTGGTTAGTGTGAGGATACAACGAAATAATGGTTTTTGGAAAACATAGAAACGTAGAAGGTATTCAGAGCCACCTTTGCAGTTTTGTTGTTGCTGTAAGACAATGGAACAGCCTTCATACTGGAGATGTCTGAAAATGTTATTTCTGAACATTTAGTTCCATAGTTTCTCAGTATAAACACTGAGTATAAGAGGGATTTAAATCCCTACCTTAAGGGTACTTTTATAACATACATTCACTGTTTAATAAGAGTTATTAACCTGAGGGGCTGGGGGTTTAGCTCAACGGCAAAAGCGCCTGCCTGGCAAGCGCTAGGTCGTGAGTTCGGTTCCTGGTACAGGAGAAAAACCAAAAAAAAAAAAAAAGAGTTATTAACCTGGAAAATAAGCTTCATCAGTTGTTTTTTGAGATAAGAAAGTCTTTATAAATATAAATTAAACTGGCATTCTAGAAATCCAATGGAATTAGATGACAGCTGCAAACAGGGGCGATTATAACCAAAAAGCACCGCTGGTTCAGTAATTGGAATGATATCCAGGCTTCTTTTTCAATTTACAATCTGACAGTCTCTTTTGAAAAAAAAAAAAAGTATACTCTATAATCAAAACATGTTAGGAAATATTTTAGTTAGAAAAGGGCTTTCAAATTATTACAAATGTAATAATTGTTATTTGTTAAAATCTAATGTCATTTTAATCAAAACTGGCCATTTAAATGATTTAAAACAGACTCATCCTACTTCTCTTATGTGGTAGTAGGGAGACATAAAAATAAAACATGGTTTAAAGAAGCAAAAAAAAGTATAACAAGAATATAATTTGAGAAGCAAAACTTATTCATACTGAATCTGTGTCCTAAAAATTGAATGATTTCCTGTTGCTACCATCACCAGTTGTATTTCATATTCAAATGATGGAAAAATATTTTTAGTACACTGAGGAATAATTATTACAACTGGTTACAGTTAACACAGAGATTATAAAGATCCTTTTACATTGTTCTATATTATTTCATTTTTAAATTAAAATCTTTTACTGACTGAAGGCAAATAAAGTTCTTGAAGATGAATAGCATCTATATCTTTTTCTCTATTCGTACATGATAATCTTACAGGAAAACCTAATCTTTGGGGTTCTTGAGGAGATAGTTGACTGAAAGTAACAAAATAATATCAATTATCCTTTATAGTAATTACTGAAGCAAGAACATGAGTAGAAATGTCTGAATTTTTGGACAACTTAGAACCTTTTTTTCCTGTTTTTCTGTTTCCTTTGCATTTGTATTCTCTCTTTGTAACTAAATTTTAGGACCAAGCCAAGGGAAACTACATATTGAACTCTTAAGCCTGACTAAATACCTGTTGACAAATTTCCCATCATGAAGTTTAACATCATAGTTTGAACTGTCAGAAAACATTACACATTATAGTTGAAACTGTAAGGAAAACATAGTTGAAACTGTAAGAAAATATAAACTAAAATCAAATGGCACTTTATTTACAAGTGGGCCACAAACAGAAACAAGAAATAGCTTTTAAGTTAGTTGATGGGCACTTAAAACATATTTTTCAGTCACTGAAATGATGGTAAGTTTCCTAATTCAGTCCAGAAAACACATGGCCATCATGGTTTTTATGTACATCAGTCAAAATCTACATAAACCATAGAACAACTGAAGCACTGTATGCTTTCGGAAAAGACCAATAAAACAATGTAATCCTCCTGATAAAATAAAGCAATACCATTAAAGAAGAAGCAGATTTTAAGATATGTGTATATTTTAAAATATACATATATATTTTAAAAATTTATATACATTGTTTTTTTAATTTAAAAATTAAATTAGCTCAGTGGCTAAGTGCCTGCCTGACAAGCATAAAGTCCTAAGTTTGATTCCCAGTACCAAAAAAATTAAATATGTATCTATACACAAAAATTTAGATATATATTTTTAAAATTGAAGTATATTTAAAGACTTTAATATATATTTAAAATATATACATTTAAATATATATATAAAATGTATATTCAAAAATTTATATTTAGTTGTGATTATTCTTGTTTGAGAAAGAATGAGTTTTACTTAAATGTTCCAGACCATGCATAGAGAAACTTCAAGGAGTTTTCAAAGAGCCACCAACGCTACCTTCCTTTTCCGTAAGTCAGGGATATTACCAATCCTGATGTAATGCTGGTCACCGTCCTTAGTAAGAATGAGGTACACAGGGCTGGAGCTACAGCTCAGTCAGTAAAGTGCTTGCCTACTGTGCAGAAGACCTGGGTTTAATCTCCAGCAGCACCTGAAAGAAGAAACAGCACAGTTCCAGCTAAAAGTCCTCAGCAGAGCTAGCTATATAATTTACAGGGCTCTGCGCAGAATGGAAACACGGTAGCACTTTTTCAAACAAAGGAAAAGTGTGATTAAAGATCCTAACATATATATTTCTTTTCTTTCTTCCATGGTTACCTCAACTTGTCATGTTGTTTTTATTCACCATTCAATGTCCTTCTAGTAATGAAAATATGAAACTTTAATTATCAGCATAAATTTTACCCTCCATCTTGATATTGTGTGATGATACATTTAAATGCAAAATATAGGTGAGATTATTAAAATTATACAGTTTTTCTTTGGTGGTTCTTACATGAACATGTATTTAATTCTTACCAAAACAGTAGAAACTACACAAACCAACTTCACTGTTTTTATCCAACATTTTAAACACATATTTTACTAACGTTTTGCTTTCAGTTTACTAATGAGTTAAGAGGGCTTTTTATTTGTTGTTGTTTTTTTTTTTTTTTTGGTTTTTCTCCGGTACCGGGAACCGAACTCACGACCTTGCGCTTGCCAGGCAGGCGCTTTTGCCACTGAGCTAAATCCCCAGCCCCAAGAGGGCTTTTTAAAAAGGAAATATGGGTTACCTTATCCTTTCCTCTGCTTTTGGGCTATACAGTTCAATACAACTGACTGATACAAGGATGTAAGATGAGAAAGAAAATATGATAGTGTTCTTTGGACCTTTTCTTCTGGTTCCAGCACAACATGTGGCTTTTGGGGGCTGTCAGTGTCCAGATTCAGGCACAGACCTACCACTCTTCCTTTCACTCATTTTGCGTCCTGCTGAACTCCCATGTATCACCACAGGGCCACTGGAGCTCTGTGTTCAAGGGGCATTGTACACGATATATTTGAATTTGTGGCAAAGAACCATGAAAATGCATATTGTACATACTTCCTCTGCTCAGGTGCATGCTAGAACATTCCCTTAGTCTTCATTTATAGAACACAGGGTCAAAGAAAAAATTATTAAGAATTCTGTAACAGTAAACCAAGGACAGAATCCTGAGCAAGGGTTCCATACAACCGTAAAGATCACATGTCCGTGAACCTATCCAGCTCTTGAGAGAGAGCTCCTCCAAGGAATGGGGCCATAGCTGGTAGAGTAAAATAAAGAAAATGAGTGAATACAGGAGAGACCTATAGTCACCAAAAAGATTGAGTAAATAACTGTTTACACAGCAGTGAAATTCACCGGGTGGGGCATTGGCCAGAGGTGTGTATGGGATGGATATGCAGAGGTAAGGAACTTTTGGAGCCATAGACCCCAAACCTCCTGGAATGCATGGTTAGAGATGAAAAGATGGCCTTCAGAAACTTAGGTCCAAGTAGGACCAAAACACATTGCCTAAGGAATAAATGCTCTGGCTGTCATCCTCCCTGCATTCTAATTTATTACTTAAATTGGCCCTAACATCAATCATGTAACAGACTCCCAGGTCTTTCCCCGTCCTTCCTGGTTCTATCAATAAAAAGTTACAAAAGCTTCACTTTTGGGCTGTCTTTATGAGACTCTCTCACACTGAGGGCCCTCCAGGCCTGCTTGGAGTTTGAGTTGGACGTTGACTCTGAGTAATCTTTTCATCCTTTGCCTCACCTTGTCACAGCAGTGAACTGTGACACACAAGGGAGAAAAATAAAGTAGAGTATTATATGCATGTGATGCCCTAGGCAGGAAAGGAAAGAAGAAGGACTGGAAGAACTGTAGTCACTCTGTCCTCTCAAACCACCCACCAAGCTGGTTTTTGTCTAGATTAAAGGTTCATATGCTTAATGAGCCATAGATGAGTTGAAGTCTTGTAACTTTGCTTGTACAAGTAGTTAAAAAAATTCCTTACTAGGTCCTCGTTCTGGAAAATGATTCCTTCCTTAACATCAGTTAATCAGTAGCTGTTGCTTTTTTTCAAAA